TTCGTCTCGATATCACGCCTCTCCGAGACAGATAGAGAGAAAGAGGGGGGAGAGAGAGAGAGAGAGAGACGAGGCAGAAGAGACAGCGGGCACGTTAGCCTTAATGAAGATTAAATAGCAGCGACATTATACCTATTACCACCTATTTACTCCAATTTATCTTCATTTTCTCCCGTTATTCTTTGGCGCTCGTCCCGCTGCCCCGCCGCCGCCGTCACCGACGTTCGGCACCGCAAGGTGCGATAGTGTTGCGTTGTTACAAACACCGAGCGATAACGTTTAAGGGGTTTAAGTATCGCCTGTCACGATGCTAATCTGTCAACGTTCCGGCGTGTCTATCTCGACGGGGTTGGCCCGGGGAGAGTTCCGTGAGCGGCTCCGGGTTTTCTTACGTTTCGCTTGCTCTACGAGAGAGACTTCTTCGTTTCCCTTCGCCGCGAAAACACTTTGTACGCACACACTCCGGAGAGAGGAATCGTTGTACTTTCTATACTTTTAATCCGCAACGTGTCGTCGGGGGCGCGGATAATTACGGCGTTACAACTTACGCTACGCTCGCGCTAACCTTATTTAACTTCGACTTCGGACACTTTTTTCCCTCCGAACTTTATTTTAATCCGAAGTTCGCCGAGTCAAACTTCTTCCGAGAGCAGAGCCCAATTATAAATTCATAGGGTATGTTAAAAAGAAACATTTCTTCGAATCCCTGTCAAGGAGAAGGCCAGACTCTGACGCGATACTATTTCGTATGCCGCGCGACATCGCACCACACGTCGCGTCGTCTCGTCTCATCGGGGATAATCTAGCCACTAGTCACGAGGGATCATCCTCTCCATCGCTTTAAAAATATATCCGGGTCAACCGCACGCTGTGTCGTGCGTTCCTCGGCTGCGGGAAACGACCGCTCCCCTTCGCGCTCCTATTCATTGAATAAAAATCGAGCAAGAAGAGCCGAGGGTCCCAGAGCGCGGGCGAATTTGGTCGCGCGACTGCAATCGAGTTAGATTGAAGAAAAAATCAGATCGACGGGACATTCGCGACGTCGACATCGGATCCGGGATTCACGGACTGACAAAAGTGCACTGAGAGAAATCCATTTAGTAGACGACATTTTTATTTGAATATGGACAAACAAATGGTTCTGGTCGTGAGAACCAAAGTTTCGTTCTCTGAATGGAGGATTAGCTTCTCTGAAAGGGAAATTAAACAAGTTTAGTTCAGAGAATCAAATTTTGGCTCTCACAACAAAAAAAGATTAGTTTACCCTTATCCAAGCAAAAATTTTGTTTCAGTCAACTAAGGGTCAATAATTACGTCACGCCACGAAAGGGGGAGTCTATTAGCTTATATGACAGCTATGATAGCGGGAGGGGGGGGGGGGTTAA